AGGCCAACTCCACGTCGGAGTCCGTGATCGGCCCTCTGGAAGAAAAACGGAAAGCGGTCCACGCCGTGGCACATGGCTTTATCGGGTGAGAGCGGAGAAAGAGTCAAACAAATGATAACAAAATGGAACCCACCAAGCCGAATGCACAAACACACTCGATAAAGAACGGCCAAAAATGGTTTAACACTCTTGTGGGACATTCTTTTGGGACACTCTTGTAGGACACTCTTGTGGGACATTTGTGTGGGACGTTTTTACGGGACACTCTTGTGGGACACTCTCGTAGGAGACGCTTCTGGGACACTCTTGTGGCAAACTCTTGTGGAAAACTCTGGCGGGACACTCTCGTGTGACAGTCTTGTGGGACACTCACTCTCGTGGGACACTCTTGGAGGGCACTCTTGTAACAGACAAGTTGTGGGAAAGGCGCCCGAAAAGTGCCTAAGAATTACCTGCATGGGGGGGAGGTTTGTACTGCTTTACCTTCAGCTGTTGCTGCATGTATGTCAGCTCCAGTTTCGACAAACACGCGCACGACTTCTAAGTAAACAATACAGTCTCTCCGTCTTTCATTGTTGCATTTTTGTCAGCACCAGCTTCAAGCAATAGACGCACGACGTCTACGTGACCAAAAACAGACGCGTGCATCATGGCTGTGGCCACATCTGTCATGGCCATATCTGTCTCAGCTTTGCCTTGTCTCCGTTGGCAGGCTTTGGGCAATCTTCTTTGGAATGGATGTGGCTTTCTTGGGGTTATTCTTAAAAACAAGTCTCGAAAGCGTACCCGTACAAGACTTCCTCCAAAAGTCACGCGTCAAGTCTCGAAAACGTGCATTTCGCACGAGCCCCCCCTCCAACTCAAAAACTTACACTTCGAGTCTGCAAAACGAGCTTCTCGTTCAAGACTTCCTTCAAACGTCAAGTGTCAACTCTCCAAAACGACCATTTCATACAAGACTTCCTCCAAAAGTCACGCGTCAAAGTCCCAATGGCACGGCCTTATCGATCACATTGGGTCGGTTGTGAATGGTTGCGGACGGTTGCGGACATGAAGAACGCTCTACCTTCAGCATGCCAAAGTTGAACGAGAACCCTTCGCTACGCATTCGGGAACAAGGGAGGTGAAATGCCTGGGCCGCTGGTACAGAGCGCAGCAGGGCGCAGGGCTTGGAGGTGGTTGGGGGAGGTCTTGGGCGTTCAGCTGAAGGGGCGCTGTGTCCAAAGAGGCCCCTTTGGCAACGAAATCCCACGCTCTAACGACCCCAAATGACTCAACTGACCCGAAAGTTGCTTGCAATGGAAACTCAGCCCAACTAGCCGAAATCCCCTCCCATGCGCGTCCTGGCGCTGTTAAGACCCATCTCAAGTTCACATACTTCGAATCCTTCACATCGGAGAACCTCGTGAGCCGTTCGAAAGCCGTTGTGTTCAAGCCCCTGGTGGCACCGACCGATCTCCTCGCGGCTAGGAAGGTCATGCAAAGCGAAGACCAAGAGCTGGTTCCGAACACTCAAAAAGAGCTTCCCCTCTTTCAACCCAAAATGTCTCCTGAGTCTGTGTTCCACCAGGTGTTCCACTACTTAGAGATCAGACAAAGTGTCCATCGTAAAGAGCGAATTGAACTGCTCAATACTCAAAACTTCACATGAAAAGGAACCAAAGAATGGCCGCAGCCTTATTCGCATGTCGACTATATTCCCTCCCCCTCTCCGACCTCTATCCGCTCCAAAAAATCTCCACGGCGCATGTGCTTCACGGCGGCGATGCTCCCTTGCGCGTCGGTCTTCAGGATCAAGGCCAAACGCATCGTCTGATCGCTGTCGTTGCTCAGCCCCGCAAAGCCCAGTGGCCCACGGCTCGTCTCCTTTGCCCGGCGCTCAGCCACCGCCCTCGCCTCGCGATGTCAGGAAGGGGGAAGCGAGCGCACGAAGCGCCGAGAGAGGGAAGGCCACGACATGACACTCTGTAGGTCACTGGGCATGTCCAAGTGGCTGCAATACTTGGAGCAACCGAGCCGCTGTTCAACCTTCAACTTTGACCCCAAGGAGGTGGGCAGGTCAGGCCCGTCGGAGTGGGGTCCTTTGGGCTGCAAGGAAACGAACATTCAAGTGACACTGAAGCGAATCCTGAAAGGCTAAGCAGCTATACTGTACATCAAGTCCATTAGAGATTCCTAGAGCCTTTCAGGGGTGTCTGGGGCTGGCTTGAATCTACCGCGCCCTTGCCATGATCCAAGTGGCTTCTTGGGCTGTCTCAAAGACCTCAAACTGGTCACCAGCCTGCGTTTGCAATCTGGGCCAACAGGAGGTTTGATGGAATTGAGGAATCGGAATCGGGTCTGGCCTGGACTCCTAGAAAAAAAACAACTAATCCCTAGGGAAATGGGATGTGGGACATTTATGAAATCCTGTCTGCACCCTCCAGTGCTGCTCTTCCTACCTCCCCTCATCCCCCCAAGCAACCTCAAGGACGATCTGTCCTGAGATCTCTCATCGATAACTGAGCAGCGTCACTAACCAAATCTTAAGGTGTCTTAAACGTCCTTAAAACATGCTTGATCTTGCCAAAATTCGTTCAAAATCCTTCGTTTCCTCAGTTTTCATTGCAAAAACCTAAACTTCAAGAAAAGAATGAAATTTAGATAGATTTTTCATACACTTTTTGGCTTGCCCTCTCTCTGTGCCTATTCCAGGAGGCCGATAGGATCCGATAGGTTTCCTGGAAGAACCCTCATATCTCACCGGAGTCGCGGAGTGAACCGGAGTTCTTCGAGTTCGAGCTCCCCGCCCCCGCCGGCTCTCCACCCCCGGAATCCAATGATTTTCTTTGGAGGTGGACCACCATATTTGGAATCATACGACTACAGTATATATATATTATATATATATATGGTTGAAATTCTGAAGTCCAGTGTCCTAAACCAGTGGAGCCACCGTGAGCCACCCACAAGGATTTCAAAACGATACGTTTATAACATCCTGATGGCAGGAATCAAGTGGAAATGCTGAATCCTCTCCTGTGGTCCAGGTGCTTTTGCCATATGTATGACAGTCACCTAGTCCTTTGTTTATAACGTCGGTCCACCTACAGGAAAAAACAAAATTGGATTCCAGAAGGGTGTCCTTAAGACACTCCCTGTGGCTCTTTTTTGGTGGGAAATATGATACCCAATGCAGCTCCTTTGCTCCTCATCTACCACCCACAAAGGCTCGTCATCTACCACCCACTAAACTCTTTGTCGGCACACGCACAGGCCCAGGCCACGGCCTGTGGGGACTCCTGAAAGCCAGTCACTTGAACAGCAGTTGAGGGCCCAGCTACCGGCACATCAGCACCTGCCTCGTTTTCCTGGGAAAGGGTGCTGTCAGCCAGTTGGCTGCCAAGCTGGTCTTTGATGTTGCTTCAGAAACATGGTGTGTCAGTTCCAGACATTTGAGATCATCGCCGATCGCCCGACAGAATGTTGAAAATCTACCAGCATTCTCAGCCAACGTCAATATTTTGTTCACAGTCTCATCCGACACTCCCATGCCATGGGGTTTTGCATGTTAAACGGTCAAACAAATGGCACAAAGGGTCCCTGAAACACCAACGCAAGGGTGCTGGATCTCCAACCTTGCTGCCCAAACATGCCAAAAGAGCCAAGTGTCCATGGCTCTGACCCGGCCGAACTTCGTGCCCGAAACGGTGTAGTCGCCCCTCTTCAGGGTGCCGCGCTGCACCAGCAGTGTTGCCAGATTGCCCTTGGACGCATCGAAGGTAGATTCCAAAACCACGCCTTGAGGAGAAGCACAGGCAACGCGGAGGCCATGATCCTCTAGGTTGCTATGCAAGTTCACACAAAGGTGGGTCCACGTGGCAAAGCATGTTGGCTTCCCTTGAACTTGGAGGAGAACTACTAAAGCCTTCAAATCACTCCGAGCGCTCCCATACCACTCCAACACCCTGTGTTCCGATAGTGGCTGCCGGTCTTGGCAGTCCTCTACGGTCTCTAGAGTTCCCCCCCCCTTCCTCGCTTCCTAAAGTCTTCAGCTTCTGCTTTGAACCAACACCTGCAACGACACCTGCACACAGTTCCCCTACACAAACAATCATTCTTGGTCCTTTTCAGCCCCCTCCGTGCAGACAATGCGCCTGCTGCAGGGCCTTTGTGAATTGCTTTCAACTCAGAAATCTCAGCTGTGAGGTTCAAAATCTCCAGCAACTCCTTGGCCACAGGAGTTGTCTCGAACACTGAGAGAAACTACATTATCCCGGCAAGAGACCCCAAACAGTGTGTGTATGTGTGCGTGTGAGAGGTCTAGAGGTGTAGTAGCAAATAATCTAGAGATCTAGGCGCAGTGGGGTCCAGAGAGGTGATGGTGGTGATGAAGGTGGACATCGTGGTGATGGTGGCGGTGGTGATGAGTGAGTGAGTGTGGGTGTGAGTGTGAGTGTGAGTGTGAGAGAGTGAGTGTGAGAGAGTGAGTGAGTGAGAGAGTGAGTGAGTGAGTGAGTGAGTGAGTGAGTGAGAGAGTGAGTGAG